GGAGGTGCTGCTGAGTGGAGGCTTCAAGACGTCCCAGGCGGATCACAACTTGATTTTGCTTGGAGAGGGGGAGCAGCTGCTCTTGCTGCTGGTGTATGTCGACGACATACTGCTGTCTCACCTTCCATGGAGCAGATTGAAAGGACACAGAAGCTCCGATGGACATCTTCAAGTGCAAGATGCTGGGGGATGTCCAATACTACTTGGGGCTGCAGATTGAGAGGGATGTTGAGAGGAGGTGGCTGAAGGTGCATCAGTCACACTACATCTCTGGTGTCATGGAGCGCTATGGTGTGACTGGGGGTCGCACTGTAATGACACCGTTCCCTGCGGGCTTCAAACTGAAGAAGGCAGCTGAGGAGGATGATGTACTCGAGGACGAGCAGCAGAATGAGTACCAGTCATCCATTGGGAGTGTGATGTATGCTGCTGTGCATACACGACTGTTAGAAACTAGCAGCAGGAATGAATGAACTATGAAAGGGTTGGGTACAAGTATGAAACCCTAAAAGGGGCTGTACCCCATATTGGCTACCCCACTACAGCCTAAACATATATAGCATGTATATATACTTTGACAACGACCTGATGCTTCATTTGGAGTGGGGCAGTTAGCCAGAGTTGTGCAGAGGCCCACTGAGGAGCAGTTGGAGGTGGCAACGCGCTTGGTGCGTTACCTCGGATCAACGGCATCTGCTGGTGTTCAGTTTTCAGCTGACGTCCAGCTGAAACACATTGGAGCAGATGGGGTTACGCCTTGAACCTTGAAGCTGTCGTGCTTCACCGACGCTACGTGGGCCTCCGAGGAGGAGGATCAGTCATCAGTTGGCGGCTTTGTTTGCATGGTCGGAGTTGGACCAGCGAGCTGGAGGTCCAAGAATTAGAGTGAGATTGCTCGGTCTTCCGGAGAGGCAGAGTACATGGCGATGTACCATGCCATCAAGGAGATTGTGCTTGTGAGGAAGCTGCTGGAGGACATGGGAACTGAACAGCAGGGACCTACACCACTTTTCTTCGACAGCGAGGCTGCTATTGGCATGGCCAATAATCCTATCCTGAATGGGCTGAACAAGCACATGAAGATTAAGTGGTACTGGATGAGGCAGATGGTGAAGGAGGGGATTGTTGAGCTTCACCAATCGAAGGCTAGCAAGCAGGCGGATTTTCGCACCAAGAGACTTCCTGAGAGCGCACATTGGAAGTGTGCTAAGATGTGTGGCATGGCATTCCAGTAGTGTGGGCAGCAGTGTCATGAGTGCATGTGTGATTGTGTGCATGAGAGTTTGCATTTGTGTGAGTATGTGTGCATGCAGTCCATGAGTCTGAGGGGGACTTTGTTGGATGCACGTCATTCTGAGTGCATGTCATCCTAACGTCCTGCCGAGTGCTCGTGCTATTCATGCGTGCATTGTTTGCATGAGCATATGTCATTGTGCATGGCTGTCGGATATTATCATCTCTGTATTTTCCTCCAAGTTTAAATGCTTGATCATGCAGGAGAAATCCAGAGCTTTCCAACGATACCAAGTTCGCCTTATTCCGACCAAGATCGCCCAAGTTACAAGATTTCCAAGATTTGGATTTCTTATTACCTTTTAAGGTTATATCTAATTTGGGTGATTACTTGGGACATGACTATGAAGGGATGTTTGGTTGGGTGGTTAGGAAGGCAGCTTTGACATTTGGATTGGGGTGGATAGAAGTTTCTAGCATGGGTTGCAAATGTTGCAACACCTAGGCAAAATCCGACTAGATTGGATTTTGCATGTGACACCTCAAGGACCTCATGATGAGGGTTGCATCCTTGCTGCTAGGAAGGTTCCTACCATCCTTCTCTAGCGCTTGGAAAACCCCTTCCCTCTCATGGTTCTCTTGGAGTCCCCAACTCCAACTTTCTATGCCTTCATGCTTGTACTTCCTCCACCATTCTAGTCATGCGGCTGCTGGACGTTTTTACTTGGTTCTGACTCTATAGACAATCTTAACGACCGATTCGACTTGGACATGGTAGCTAAGCCTAAGGCGCAACATCCTACAGAGCGGATATGCGTTTAGTTGAGAATTGAGTTCGTTGTAAGCTCTCAAAGTGACGGATCCTAAACAACAGCAGGTACACACGGAAGTGCGTGATGGCCCACACTGCTGCCAGCCCTTCTCCTTCGTAGGTGCTGTAATTTGCCTCTGCTGGATTGCAACTCCTGCTTACGAATGCCACAACCATTTCTTGGCCTTCTCTCTCCTGGCATATGATGCCTCCCATTCCCGCACTGCTCCAATCGGTGTAGAGCACAAACGGGTCCTACTTACTTGGCAGGGCAAGGATCGTCGCTGTCTGTATTACTTTGAGCAGCGCCTCCATTGCCCCCTGTTCTGCCTCTCCCCATTGCCAAACCTGCTCTTCCCTCAGCAGTTTGTTCAGGACCGAGACGGTTCTGCTGAAGTTGGGTACGAATTTTCTGAAGTAGTTCAGGAACCCCAGTACTGCTCTCAGGGTGCTTCGGTCCTTGGGGGCTGGCACTTGGTCCAGCACTTCCACCTTCGCCTGCTGGATGCTCATCTTCCCCCCTTGCACCTCGAACCCCAAGTACTTCACCGAGTGGTTCCCACAGCTGCACTTCTTGGGGTGGCAGGTGAGTCCGGCTTCTCGTATGGCTGCCAAGGTGTCACTCATGTCCTTCACGTGCTGCTCCTCCGATGCACTGAACACTACCACGTCGTCAATGTAGCAGGCAGCGACCGATACATTCCTCAGCACTGAGTCCATTACTCGCTGGAACAATTCATGCCGAAGGGCATAATTTTCCATTCGTAAAGGCCATCCGGACCGTGAAAGGTAGTCTTTTTCCTGTCTTCCTTCCTAATTGGTATCCGATTGAAGCCCTGCCTGAGGTCCAGCGTGCTGAACACCACCGCTCCCTGCAGCCGGTCAAATATCTCCTCCGCCCACTACATCGAATACTGATCTGCTATGGTCACTTTGTTGAGTCCTCTGTAATCCCTGCACATCCTCCGCGCCGACACTTCTCCAGTTATATATTTTCTTGCTGCTACCACGGTAGCCGCCGCATAGTCACTTTCTGATCTCTGAATAGGACCAGCCTCCAGCAGCTCTGCACATTTCTCTCGGCATATGTCTAGATCACCTAGGCTCATCCTCCTCTTCCTTCGGTATATCGGCATCTCAGTGGTCAGCTTAAGCTGCATCAGGTGAGAGTTGCACTGGCCCAACTTCTGTAGAGTATAGGCGAACGTCATCCTGTGCTGCTTTAGCACTTTTTTCAGTGCCTTTGCAGTCTCTGCCCCCATTTCCACGCCTATGGGCCAATCATCCTCTGGCCCCCTTTCCTTCTCAGTTTCTACCTCCTTGCTCTTCTCTGTCCCGTCCTTTTGCTCGGTGCCATCCCTGGTGCTGCCCCTGCTGCCTCCACCGCCATACAGGCACATCCTTCCATGATCCGCGTTTCGTGCTGCTCCTCTATCGCCAGCAGTTGCCTTCTTCTTCTCTCTGCTTCCTCCTCTTCTTGATGCAACTCGCTGATTTCTATGTCCCTTTCCAGCTCTTTCCTCTTCAGGTGTAGGCGAATTGTCTCCACCAGCCAGGTCATGACGTTCAGATCCATGGCTCGGCCCGTGGCTGCCCGTCTCTACTGCTCTGTCACTCGTGGATGTGCCGTCGCTCCCCACCTGTGCCCCATTGCCAACTCCCGTTCCTCCGCTGTGGGTTGTTCCCATCTCTTCTTTCTGATGTCATACACCATTTCTAGCCCGGGATGATCTCCTTCCATCACGAATCCTTTCACCTCTGCGTACGACACCAGTGTCGGTAGTGCTTGCCTAGGCTTCCCTGGCACATTGCACTGGTACTGCGAAGGGTGGTCAGGTATGTTGACCGGCACGGGTAGTCGGTTGGGCCCCAGGATGTCGCTAACCAGCCTGGGCTCAGGCCGCTGCATCTGCGCCAGCGCATGCCTGAGGCTGGCTTCAGACATCCCATTCTGCCAGTATCTCCTAGGCTGGTGGCCTCTTCCCACTGGTGCCTCTATCACTGCAAAGGCTCTCTTAACCGGCTCCCTACGATCTTCTGCGAGATCTACGTTTAAAGAATGTAGAGAACTTCTCCCTGCTTTTTCTGCACCATCTCCACCACTCTCTTTACATCCTGGAAAGATGCCCCTCTGGCGTCCTCCATTCCCCTTACCTTCTCCTGCTCTCGAGTACCCCTGGCATTCCCACCCGGCGATGATCATGTCAATCTGCCCCCACTTCTCCAGTTGCTCTTGAGTAACATCTCGCACGTCATCCACAGTCGCCTCTTCTTCGGAGGGTATGGCCGACGCTGACAGCTGGTCGGGGTACTCTTCTAGCAGCTGCAAAGCGTGATGCCTGACCATCCGCCGCACTATTGGATCTTTCTCCACGTGCACCCACTTCTTCACTCGGCACCCTGCTCTTAGAACCACCGCCAGTCCCGTTCCTATTCCGCCGTACAGCTCTACTACAAACACTGCGCCCTCTGGTGCCCACACCCTGGTTACTCTTTCCTTCAGCGATTGTGGGTCTCCTCCCTTCCTCCTCGTTACTATCCTCTATTCGTACTCTTCAGCATATTTCTCCCAGCTCCAGTCATCGAGTTCTTTGCCCAGGTCAGCTTGCCGCGCCCCATAGGCCCCTCAATGCAAGGTGCTCACAGAACTTTCAGGGTCCCAGTATTGCACACTGTAATTGTCACAGTAGGCTTCAATGTGCCTAAAACGAAAGTGGGGGAAGGTGGTGCACAAAGGGGAAGGGTGTACTTAGCTGGAGGGTACAATATACTGACTGGCAGAACCATTATTACAATCAGAGCAGATAGCAATGGTTTGGAAGGGAATCGGGCGGGATTGCGTTAATGTAGGTGATTAAAAGTTATAAGTGATTGGGGGTTATAAGTTGATTAAGACAGATGATGCATCACTCTGACAGGTAAGGCAGTAGCTTGGAGGAAAGTGAGGGGCCGAGGCTTACATGCTGGTGATTTGGATGTTGGCTGCTCCCACCAGGAGAAGGCCCTCGCACGAGGTGAGCACGCCACGCAGCATGCCTGCAGTGACGGGATAGTCCAGAGCAGCAGTAGGGTTTGAGCACAAGAGCAGCAGCAGATGGCGCAAAAATAACAGCAGGCGATGCACGGCTGTTAAGAATGACGAGCACAATCGACGCACAACAACGGCTGCCAACACATAGATGCACGACTAATGCATGCGGAATTTAGGTTTGCGGTGTCAGAATTGCGGAATTGAGTGAGCAAGGATGGTGCTGGGACGATGAGCACAATGAAAGCAAAGTAACGGCTGCTGCCACTCAGGCAGTTGTGCAACATTCCTTTGCAATTCATGCATCAGCGAAGACACTCTAGTTTCAACACGTTTCTCTGTGACTGCAGGGTTAGGGTTTGTGGGGCTAGGGTTTGCGGGGTTAGGGTTTGCGGGGCTGACCTGCTGGGTGCGGCAGCAGAGCCACGAGGTCTGCCACGCCAAGAGCGTCACTCAGCGGGGCGATCAGCGCGTCCACCTGCGCAGCGAGCGCCGACACGTCCAGATTCAGTGCACCCACCCTCCCAGTGAGCGCTGCCACTCGCTGACTCAGCAATGCACGGAGGTTGGGGAGGATGCCCGCCAGGTCCGTGTTGAGCGATGTAGCGCGCTTGTTAATAGCGGGGATGCTGCCTTGTAGCGACGAGATGCGCGACTGAAGTGCGACAGGAGTCGCCTGGGGAGCGACGCCGCCGGGTCGGGTGATTCTAACGAATAAGATAAGGTCGAGGTTGGCAATGCGTGCGTTGAGAGAGTCGATGCTGCTCTGGAGGGCGTAATTCTGCGCTTGAAGCGCCAGTGTGGCCGCGGATGAGTTGTCGTTCAGTGCGGTAGCCAGTGTACTGAGTGATTGCATCAGCGCTCCTTCTAATAAATATACTTGTGCTTGAAGCGCGGATTTTAGGTCAGAGACGCTACTACTAATCGTGCTGGTGGCTTGGGCTGGTCGGTTCGGGAGGCGATTCCCGAGCAGTCCGTTGGAGACGAATCTAGACTGTGCGCAAGATGCAAATAGGGCGGTTACAAGCAGTGCCGCCATAAGTGAGGAAGCTAGAGGAAAACGCGCCATGGGAATAAAATGTAGTGAACACCCAGTAGGAAAAGAAGGAATGCAGTCAATGGTGATCGCTGCTAGTTTCAGAAGGATCGCTTTTACTCGGGAGGATGGTAGTGGCGATCAGAAGCGGTTGCGAGAGTGAGAAGGAAGCTTGTGACTGAGAGCTGCACTAGTGGGCTTACGTTGTGTAAGATTGCCGCTTCACCTCGACTAAATACTACTCACAGCTAGGTTGATGCCTGACTGACTGAACCAGACCAAGTGTTGCTGTGACGGTGAGCGCGTAATGTTGGAAGGGAGTGAGTGAGGCGGTGGTTGATGGTTGGGTTGCGGCGATGGAATGGATGAGCGTGGGTGAAGATGAGTGAGGTGCGGCGAACCAGCGATGGGCTGAGCAGTCGTTTCCACCGAATGCTCGACTCGCTCAGGCGGATTAGTTGTGAGCGAAACTGGCGAACAAGTTTTGGGAAGGAGATATCGTGCTGCGTGTTACCGCAAAGCTGGATTTCTACATATTTGCCTGAAATTATGATATCCTTGTTTTCATTCAATTAATATACAATTAATATTGTATACTGCATGTTTTGTATTGCACTTATGTTTTGAGAAGGCGATTTTGGAAACTGGAAGCAAGTGAAATGCAGCTCAGCTGGTTTTGAAGCGCCACGCACTCATCAGGGTCGTCGCTAGCAGACTTTCTCTGCATGTTTGGCTCATAATCAGACATGTTTTTTTTATTATTATTAATCTGATGGACCACTCACATCAGACAAAATTTGTTTTTTTCCCGGCGGACCCGTCTCATGCATCAGACATCCCTCAGACCCTAGCGACAACCTTGTCGCTAATGCATGATTTGGTAGGCATGAGAGTTCACTTAACATTAAAAAGAAACGTAATGCTGGAATAATCGAATGATTATACGGTAACGGTATTCGCGAAGGTTCACCATAGCGAAACATCTTGTAATGACGATGTTCATGTACTACTTTCGAGCGCTGCCTTATCGAAAGGTCAACAGTCGAAAGTCAACTACCGTATTACCCCGGATAATAGCGCATATGCGCTTATAATAAAATCAGTTTTTTTTTTTTTTGGGGGGGGGGGGACGCTTTTAATTGAGTATCGGCCATAAGCGCCGGCGCTTATATAATGACAAATACAGAAATACAACCTGAACACATCAAATTGTACATTTCAGTCTCGTAAGTTCAATCGAGTCGACATTTCATTGCGTCCTGAATTTGAATCGCGTGAGGGCGATCCTTTAACGCTGCACATAGCTTTTCGCACGTCAATTTGCCCGCGTGCCACCTCATCTTGAGTCGACGCGAAACCAGTCAGGACCTCGAAAGTCAAACAAAGTGAAAAAGGGTGCTGACTCGCTTGAAATCCGAAATTCGTTCTTGTTTTTATCAGGATTGAAAAATACAATTATGCATGCGCTCATAATAAATCAGGGTTTAACAGGGGGGGCGCTTATAATCGAGTTCCGACCATAAGCGCCATGCTCCAGATAGAAGCGCCGACGCCTTTAACCGGACGGCGCCTATATCCGGGGCCATCCCGACTGTTGACTGTCCTGGACTGGAGGCAGGGCTGGCGCCATCGGTCTAAATAGCCTGATTAGTCTGACGAATCAGCCCTCTGAGCCATTGTTCCCTGATTCTTCAGATTAAGAGGAACTGAACCCAGATTTATTCGGAGTAAGAGCGCGTCTTCCTACGCCCTTTAGTCAGGCTGGCATCTTGTCAGACTCGCCTCAGATACTAATATTTCGGTCGACGCACATCCATCCACATCGTGCTCAGCGTCAACTACATTAAGAATCTCGAGCTCCACCAAATTAATGTCTCCAAAACTTTTCTCTACGCCATAGTTGAAGCGATAGTCTACATCGAAGAGTTGCATGCATTCCAAATAAACGGTGTGCCTGGACCAAAAATCACTCTACATCATCAATCAGGCACCACGTCTGCACACTGTGCTGATCGAGCTCGTCATTCAACATCTCCCTTAGGATTCAGGTAGGTACCAACTGGTCACCTACGTCGACGATCTTCTTACACAAGGACCAGCCATGGACCTTCTTGATTGCTTCGAGAGGAACGATCGGAAGAAGCTCGACATCACCATCTCACACTCAATCACTCAATTTCTCAGCCTCAACATTTTTGAGTCTGCCGACAACATCTAGCTCCGCGCTGCTAAGCCAAAACACTTGCGGAGGAATTCAGAATCTATTCCATCAACCTTAGCACCCCATTCCGCAATCCTCCCTGTGGACACATCCCTAACACTACACATCTCTCAGCGGCCGAACATTGCCTCTACCAGCAATAGCTCGGCAGTGAGAGTGGGCTGCGGGCCCACCTGGGATTCTTGAATTATTATCGGAAGCTCATTGTGGATTTCAGTAAGAGGGGGACTTCCTTGAACCGGCTGTTCCTGGAAGACCAGAAATGGCAGTAGGAAGAGCCACAAGAGAAGGCGCTGAAGGGTCTGATAGAGGCAGTGAAGGCGGGAGCGGTGCTTAAATTGCCAAGCGGGAAGGCGCCCTTTGTACTGTACACGGATTGGAGTAGCATAGGGATGGGAGCGGTACTACATCAGATGGAAAAAGGGGTGGAGAAGGTAGTGGTGTTTGCGAGCAAAACGTGGAGCCCGGCGGAGGCAAACTACTCGTCATATGAGGGAGAGGGGCTGGCCACGGTGTGGGCAGTGGGACACTTCTGAGTGTATCTGGAGGGGAGGCACTTCCCCTAGTGACCGACCATCAACCACTGTTGTGGTTGATGCACAATCAGACATTGACGGGCCAGAATGCGAGGTGGGCAATGAAACTGCAGGAGTATGATTTCACGGTTAAGCATAGGCTGGGCAAGACCATGCAGCACGTCGACGGTACCCGCCAACGAATGAGGGAGAACCAGGAACAGGGAAGAGGCCACCATCGGTAGCACTGACAGTGATGGTCAAGGAGAAGGGAGTCAGAAAGTAGGAATGAAGGATGACTGGAAGGACAACAGTACAGGGTTTGTATAGCAAAACCTAATTGGGCTGTACCCCATAAGGAGTGCCCCACTACAGCCTAGAGGATATGAAAGCATAGTTCAGACACTCCCCCATAGGCAAAGTGGGGAACAAGCAAGAGAATGAAGCAAGGTCAAGCTCAGGGTGGATCACAACGTCACTACACAGTCCGAGCTCAAGCAAATGGCCACAAGGCCAGTCCAAATGCAGAGTTATATATAAAGAAGAACAAGATGGACACTGATCATAACCTAGCAAGTGTAAGCATGCAGGTATAAGTACATAGATCACAGTACAAGCAAAGTCAAGAAGTGAGCAAGTGAGGCCAAGTAGGCACAAGGCCTAGAACAGTACAGAAACGCTGATGATCACAAGGCTGAAGTGCCTTGGTGAAGAAATAAGCAGTGTTGGCCTGAGAGGCCATGTAAACAAGACGAAGCTAACCACGCTGCTGCAACTCTCGAGCAAGGAAGTAGCGCAGAGTGATGTACTTTGTTCTGTGCTTCAGTCTGTGGTCCTAACACAAAGCAATCATAGCCTTGTTGTCGACGTACAGAACTGGAGGAGAACGAGGCGCCTCTCCCAAGTCGGTCAGCAGGTAGGTGAGCCAGCATAACTCCTGTGCAGCCATGGCCCCTGCGTAGATCTCAGCCTCACAGCTGGAGCTGAGAACAGAAGACGAGCGGGTAGACCGCCACAAAACAGAACCGGAGCCAAGGCTGAAGGTGTAACCCTGTGACGACCGCTGCGTAGCCATGTCGTCAACCCAAGAAGCGTCGCGTGACCAGTGAGGACAACGCGAGCCCGTCCTCCAAGCATGAGCCCCATGCCTGACGTACTGCACAAGTAGCGCATCACCCTCTTAGCGGCCTTCCAGTGCTCTGGTCGGTGTCTCCCGGGCGCAACGTAGCGTGCCAGGATGCTAAGAGGGTAAGCAAGGTCAGGTCGAGTGCAGGTCATCAGGTACATGAGGTAGCCCACAATCTCCGGATATGGGCCACTCGGCTCTACAGACTCATCCGAAGGTGGAGCTGAGAGCGAGTGACCGGTAGCTAGAGGAGTGGACTATGGCGAGGAGTACTGGAAGTCGAAGCGCTGAAGGACCTGCTGCACCATGTGTGACTAAGTCAAGGTAATGGTGCGCCGTGCTCTGTCCCGGGGGATCTGCAAGCCAAGATAGCTGCGCAGCTCACCCAGGTCTGTGCACGTGTGTCTCTTCTGCAGCTCCGACTTCACGTGGGCAAGTCCAGCAGTGTCAGCAGTGGCAAAGATCAAGTCGTCGACGTACACGAGGACGTAGAACGGCGGCAGCGAAGTGTCAGTGCGAAGAAACAGCGACGGGTCAGCAGTAGAAGGAGCAAACCCAAGAGCCGCAAGATTCGTCCTCAGTGTGTCATGCCACTCGCGAGGCGCCTGGCGGAGACCGTAAACTGGCCGCCGGAGGCTCCACTGGGTACCTGCAGGAAACGACCCAGTGAAGCCAGGTGGGTGGCGCAGCCAGATCTCCTCGTGCAGGCTGCCCTGTAGGAAAGCATTGCTGATGTCAAGAGAGTGAAGCTCGTAGTCACGCTGAGCGGCAACGTGTAGCAGAACTCGAAGAGTGGTCATCTTCAGGGTAGGGGAGAAGGTCTGGAAGAAGTCAACTCCCTGTCGCTGCCTTGAAGACAGGCGGAGAACCCGGCGGCCGCTTCACCCTGAAAATCCACATGCCACTGACGATGTTCGCCCCAGGAGGGGAAACCTCGTCGACATAAGTGCCTATGGAC